GAATAACAAGTGTAATATCCACTAAAGCACAGCTTAAGTATATAACACCAACAATTTTCTCACTTGCTCTCATTATGGATCCTAGATTCAAGCTCAAAATGATTGATTATTACTATGACAAATTACTTGGAGCCGATGCTTGGATTGAAAGGAGAAGATCCAAAATGCGTTGTATGAATTTGAAAATGCATACAAGTCTAAGTCTTCAAATGCTTGTAGTGGTGTCAAAAGGAGTCAATCATCATCAACTTCTCGTAATGTCGAAGGAAACAAATCAATGTTGGGACCCCATTCCACAAACCTCATCGTGCCTATGGACATTGAAGAGTATTTAACTGAGCAGTGGGAAGGTCAAAATGATAAGTCTGATTACGATTGATACTTGGCGGATAAATTGTTTCCCCGAAATGATGACTTTGACATGGTGGAAGATATTTATGTCATTCATGTTTCCACTGTTGCTTCAGAGGTTTCTTTTAGTACGAGTGGTAGAATTGTAAGCAAGCATCGGAGCATGCTCATCCCAGACACTTTGGAAACATTGATGTGTTCCCAAGATTGGTTATGGGAAACAATAGATGGTTTGATTTATATTTTATTCGATATTTATGAATTGAGTAATTTCATATTTCATAATAATCTAAGTTATTTTATATTTTTTTAATAATTAGTTTTCAGATGCAACCTCCACATCCTCTTTTCCACTACCTAGAGTGGCTAATGGTTCGACTGCTTTCGCTTGTGATGAAGATGAGGAACAAAAGGTAAACAAATTAACTTGTTGCCCAATTCTTCGAGTGTATTTTTATTTACGCATTATGTAGAAGTTGCATAATTTATTTATTTATTTTTTTTTTTTTGCATGAATTTGTTAGCACTCAATGTAACTTATTTAGAAAATAAAAGCAAGTGGCAATTAAATTAAATTGTTGAAAAATGTTCAATTGTATTTTTATTTACACATTATTTACAATTTTTGAAGGCTTGTTTTTGAAGGAATTTGTTAGCAATGAGTAGCTTATTTTGAGGGTAGAAAACTATAAATGTGGTTTCAAGTAGTAGTTTATAGGCAAAATAGCTCGTTATATCACGACCTTTTACCATATTGCTATAACATCACGACTTTTGGACCTTGGCAAAGAATATCACAACCTTTGATTTCTTTGCAGAACGATACACGAAAGTCAGAAACCGGCCATAGTTGATACACCATGAAGGAAGATTTGTATCTATTGAGAACAATACGTAGTATTTTGGAGGTGATGATACTTTCAGACTTTCGTGAAATGATTTTAAATAATGTAACAATGGCTGGTTTCCGACTTTCGTGTATCGTTGCAAAAAAAATCAAAGGTTGTGATATTCTCCGTCAAGGTTCAAAAGTCGTGATGTTTTAGCAATATGGTAAAAGGTTGTGATATAACGAGCTATTTTGCCTAGTTTATATTATGTTTGGTATTTGATGCCAAATAATGGGGACCATTTGGAACATACTATTTTTATGTACTAATCGAAGTTTCATCCGTTTTGAACTATTGTATGACGTATTGGTTTATGAATTCTAAGATGTTTTAAATTTGGATTCACTTGTAAATCTGATGATAATTCATTACCAAGCATGTTGCTATTTGTGATGGTATGGTGATTTTTTTGTTTTTTTTATGTACATGGTCGAGTCGGGTTGGTTGCAGGGTAATCGAATTAATTGCGGGTAATCGGGTAAAAAACTCAAACTAACTCGATCGACAATACTAATTTGGGTACTCAATAATCCGACGAGTAAAACTCAACCCGAACTCAGTGGTGGATAATCGGGTAGCGGGCCGGGTACTAGTACTTTTTTAGCAGGCGGGTCGGATACGGGTATGCCAAAACCTGTACCCGATCCGACGCAGTTACATCCCTAATTTTTCTTAACAATCGGTCAGAAGACATAGTACTCAGGTGAAAAGGCGTGCATATTTAACATGGTTCTCAAACCTGGACCGGATCGGCCGGTTCAACCGCGAACCAGTTAGTATACCGGTCCGGTTTAAGGTATTCAATCGCTTGGGTCAAAAACCAGTCAAAAACCGCTCAACCCAGTAAAAAATCGATAAAACCAAAAAACCACCAACGGTTTGAACGGCCCATCAGGTTCTCCTTTGGGTGTTGAGTGCTTTTCTTAACAGCCAAACCTAGCATCTAAATAGGAGAGAACTGAGTGTGTGGTAGATATAAAATGAAGACTCATTTTATGTTAGAACTCGCACTAACGGTCTTGGTTCCAACACGATAAAATGTGTAAATCTGTATTGACGGCCTTGATTCACATATTAATAAGTGAAAAACCCGCACTACTTGCCTTGGTTTTTCACAAAGAAATGACTCGAAGACGAGCTTCTTTCTTAATTTTTATTACTTTTAACTTTTTTTTTTTTCCATACATGCATACAAATGTCATATTTATAATACACACAAACAACATTCAAATTTAAATATTCAAACCTACACCTAACTAACTAACATATTTAAAATTTAAAAAGAAACTAACATCATTTATCTAAATTAATCCTATCTAATCTAATAAATAATAATCCAATTTCTTCCGCTATTATCCACGCCTTTCGATTTCCACTCGAAAGTCCGGCTGCGATCAATATATTTGTGGATCCATAGGATCGCTATTTTCTCTCTGAAAAGTCTGTTTGGTTCGCCATATTGGGACCGATGTCATGGTAATCGCTATTGTATCCTTTTCTATATTTTGGAAATAAATACACTCCTTACTCTTTTTAAAATTTGTCTCCGGTAATATTTGTTTCCGTTAGTGTCTCTGTTTAATATTATTAAGTCAAAATTCTTTTTTAGTTTCCAATTTTACACAATTTAATGTCCTTTCTCACTTTTTCTTATTATTTTTTTTTTGTGGCAGTTTTTTTAATATAATTATATATCATGGATCTGAAAACGAATCGAACAGGTGAAACTACCGATTTAATGGTTCACTGGTCGGACCAGTAGTTGAACCAGTTTAATGAATATAAAATTTTTTATTTATTTTATATGTATAGCATATAATTTTATATATTTTAATATTTCTTCATCATTAATTTTATAGTATATAATGACATTTTTTTAAATAAGAGTTCAATATTTTATTGGACTTTGGTTTTGATTAATTTTGGACTCAGAGTCCAAGTTTGTTTTAATGTTTTTAGTTTATTTTTATTTTTAAATTGGCCCTTTTGGGCAGCAATACATCGAGCTCGTTACTGTACCATAAAGGACTGGAATTGGTTCTAGGAATAGGTTTGCCCAAGTACAAACTTTCTGCATTTTCCAAGGAAACAATGTAATCCAAATTACAGAGTAATTAACAGGCCCAACTCCAAACAAAAAGCAGGCCCAAGTTCACACTAAAGCATATGGGAAGCTATAATCCACATCGAAAACTTAAAAAATATACTGTTCTAAAAATTGGCTTAGGCGACGTCTAGGCGCTAGACGGTGTCATGGCACTTTCGATTTACACAAATCGGCAGAAAAAACCGGCCAGATAGCTAAGCGGCCCTAGGTGCTCTTAGGCAGACTCGGCGGGCAGGCGATTAGGCGGCGCCTAGGCGGGTATAGGCAGACCTAGGCGCTCGTAGGCGGACTCGGCTGCAATTTTTGAGTTTTTTTGTTTTTTTTTTAAATACTAATAATATTATTTTTGTTCTCATATTTTATTTAAAATATATTAATTTTATTATTTGAACATAGGTCTGTCGATGTATTATAAATTGAGATAATTTTATTTTGTAAGTAGTTAAAATAAATAAAAAATAAGGTATTTAATATTAATTTATAGACCTCGACTAGGTGCCGCCTATGCCCTGCCTAGGCGCTACTAGGCTCTGGTCGAGCGCCTAACGGGCGCCTAACGACTTTTAGAATAGTATTGACAATGACCTTTAATGACTTGTTAATCCCGTCTTCTCCCCCTTTTAATGCAGTAAAGTAATGATACATACTTATTTTATTTATGTTATTTACATTATTCAACTTTTACTAATTTATTTACTCACAAGGAAATAAACTAATGAATTATTTCATTTGTTCTCGTAAAATCCTCTGACGAATCTATGAATTTGTGTGCACAGCTCACTCCGAAGTAAAGAGAAATCCCATTATCCTCTATATTCCCAACGATATTTCTCCTTCAGTTTGCTCATATTCGTCTCGCTTATACTCATCCGCTTCAAAATTGCCCATCAGAAATTCAGATGCGGATGCCTGACCGGTGAACTATTGCCGGAGATCGGTCTCAGATCTGTATGTTGACTCATCTTTATGTATACTGATTCAATTTTTTGTATTAATGCTTAATGTCTAGCGGCTGAGATTATGTGGAGTATTTATTGCTTTTGCTTTGTTGATTTGGGGCACTCGGCAGTTGTTATCACTGGCATTTAGCAGATCTTTAATCATTCGGTTGATTGTTGTGGGAAAACGGTACGACTTCATCTGTTGGAAGTGTGCTTGGTGTTTGATTTGAGTTTCTATTGTTTTATCTTTCGTGATTTTATTGGAAGATTTTCAACTTTAGTAGCAATCCGTGGTTTATTTGAAGCTGTTCTTATTGGGATTGTTACAGAGTTCATGCTTCAATATACTTTAGCTGGTCTTGAATCCAAGTGCATTGTTTGCTTGATGTCATCTCATAAGTAGTCTCAAGATGTCATGCTTTTAGTTGGGGGATATCTAATGTTTCCATTAATCTTCATCTATGTGGCTCCGTCATGTTATTTCTTCATAGATTATTCTGATTTGTGAGTAAGGAAGTCAATTATGAAAAAGAAAAACAAGAAACATTGATATGTCACATGTATGTGATACCTGATATTGATTTCATTGAGCAGGTCGACCACAACCACTTGTTTGTTATGCAATATAGCCGAGTAAAATAAAAGAAAAAAGCAATTGGGTAGGTGCTCAGATGAGAAGGACTGATGTTATTTGCCGTAGAAGGGGGAGGATTTTTCTCTACATCAGCTTCCGGATATAGTAAGGGCCTGAGCCTCCTTCTGTCGGGCAACAAAAACGAGGACAAGCCCATGAGAGTGGCGCCGTGGACTCAGTACCAGTTGGTGGACCAAGAAATCAATCCCAATCTCCAGCTGGCGCCTGGCAAGAAACGCCTCGTCCGCAGGTGCGCCTCTTTCGTGTGCTTCGGCCGAGCCGCTGTCACTGGACCTGAAGGCCCATCCCAGCTGAATGTGGGACCCACCAAGAACCGAGAATTCCAGCAAGGATCTCGGGAGCGTGATGGGATTAAAGATGCAGCTCATTCGGTTGATCGTACTGTTAATGGTGATAACAATGGGCAGATAGGCATTAGTCGTAAGAGTAGCTTGAAGAGATCAGCAGACATTGCAGGCACTATTGTTGGTGATGGCAGCTGTGGAAATAGCACCAAGCTTGATTCGTCATGTGAAAGGGACAGTGATGCCACTTGTCAAATGGAAAGGAGGAAAGTTCAGTGGACAGATGCAGTTGGTGGAGAACTTTTTGAGATTCGAGAGTTCGAGATGAGGTAAGAGAGCTTATGTTGCTATGAAAACTTGAGTTATTCATATTGGTATGGGTTCGCGTCACTTGGGACCAATAGGTCTCAAGTTCGAGTCATGCAGGGGGTAAGTGGGGAACCTCTATTGATTCTCTTTAAAAAGAACTTGGGTTATTCATATTGGTATGGGTTGTGAGAATATCTTCTGTGACGGGGTTTTAAAATGTTTGTTACAAGGTATAAACGGAATATCTTGCTGGTGTGCTAGTCTCAGCTTTGTCTGCAATTGCTCTAAATATCTATTTTTACCAAATAGGAAACTTATATTTGCAAGAGGGTGTCGTCTTCTATCTTGCACGGTTTTTGGTTATGGGTCTAAAATAGTCCTGTTAGAACTAGACCAGACCTTATTCATTTGCATATTTGTCAGTGCAAATATTGTAAAAGTGCGAATGCTCCTTAAGATGCTAGCTGCAATCATGGCAGTACTAGAAATTTAAAATCGACATTTTTAGACTGGGTGGGTCTACAGACAGTGTCTCTTGTTTAAAACTAGTTACTTGGAGAAGTCAGTGGTACAATGTACTTTGATTGATCAATCAGTTGTCCTTGTTTAACATGAGCTTTTAACAATAAAGTAAAAAAAAAAAATGATTTTTTGGTAAATTAATTTTTGATTGATCATTTTAAGCATTTCCTTTGTGGGGAACAACTACTTTTGGAAAATTCATGTGCACCCTGGCCATGGATGCTCATACTCTAGATAAGACTGAGTGAAAGTGTGAAACAGTTTATAGTGACATTTGCATTATATTATCCTTGTTTTGTACTTCTGTCTATTGGTCCAGTGACCCACCCGCCCCCTCCAACAAAAAAAAAAATTAAAAAAAAAAAATGTGCTGTCCGACCAGGGTATATTTTAAAAGTACAAACAAAGGCCTTAATCTAACGGATACTTTTTCTGTTTGCGCGTATTTTGTGCGAACCATTTGTCTTACTAATCAAGCCTCCATATTTTCTCAGTGAAGATGGATCAGATGATGAATTTGATCATGCGAACGAGAAGACGTGTGCGTGCAGGATAATGTAGCCAGATCTCTTCATTGCAGGGCTCTCGTGAGCTTCAATTTAAACAAGGCAGTCCATACTGTGTTTGCTAGAATTGCCATGACCCAAAACACGGCCCATCATCCCCTAGCTCGATTGTTGGAAGACGGTCAAACAAAATTTTGTGAGGCAATGCGAGATAATACGATGGTTAGTCATTGATCTGCATTGTCTTTGGTATGCTCGCGCTACAGTTTGGTTGCAATGGGTTTTTCAATTATCTACAGTTGATATTCCTTTTCTTTTGCCTTTTCAAATTAGGGAGCTTTTCTTCCCATTTTCTTGGGCTAATTGTGGATGATGATTTTTGTTCTTATTTTGTATCTTGTAGCTGTCCACCCGATCCATGTGGAGTAGAATTTCATTTCAATCATGTGTAAAGTTTAAATTGAATTTCAACTGGCTGAGTAAGATGGAATCGATTTTACTACCTTAAGGGATAAATTCACTCTTTCTTTTAGGTACATTTCACTTCTTCTGTATTCAAGTATTGGATTTGGGAGATGATACAGTCTCATTACGGAACCATTCGGGTGGGGTTTGTAACAGCTAGATTAACTATTCCCAGCGGTTACATGATGATCCAACGGTTACAAATCTCGATAGGATGTCCGTAACGGGACTGTAGCATTTTCCCCAAGTATTATCTCAAGTAATTTTGTGCATCTTAATAGTTGAACCGCGGTTAAGCAAATATTTAACTGATGAATTTTCAAATAAGATGAGTTATTAGGAAGAGTAAATTTGTAATTGTACGAATTTTCGGAAAAAAAATATATTATTAGAAAAATTAAGTGAGAATGCAATGTATGTCATCATAGAGGATTACCTCGAATCATATAAAATTGGGCGGCAAAATATCCAACAGTTATTCGTATGTAGAATCTTTAGGGCTGGATTGTTTATGGAGTAATTTGTTCAAAATGAGTTATTTTGATTAACCATAGTTAATTGTGAAAAGGTGGTATGATTAGTTGTTAGTGAAATTTTAAGAATGTATTAAAATAATATTTAAAATAAAATGATTAAAATTGATTTGATATAAAAGTATGAGATAAATGATTGAAAATGATAGGTAGTTAAAATTATGTAAGTGGATAAATAGGTAATTAAAGTTGATGTGATGTGTCAAATGATTGGTTTGTATTATTTAATTATATGAATAATATTAAATATAATGAAGTTGAGGTAAAGTTGAATTAAATTTTGAGTTGAAAAAAAAAATGAGCAAATTATTCCGTAAACAAACAAGCCCTTAGCGGGTGGTTGCTAAATATTCATACTTTCAATTGTGTGGAGCCAAATATCTAAAATCGAGACACATAAATTTTATGGAGCCATTGAATGGTTCCCTTATGGAGCCTCTTAATTTTATGGACTAAAATGTGTTCAATGTGTATTTAATGTAAGACACGTGTCGATACATATTTTTAGAATTATGGATGACTCAATAAACCGAGCCATCGAATGGCTCCATAACAAAATCGACACATTAATTTTATAGAGCCATTCATAACTTTATAGACTGATATGTGTCCAGTGTGTATTTAATGCAGGACACGTGTCAATACACAATTTTTAAACTTTGGATGACTCCACAAGCCAAGCCATCGTGATGGCTCCATAACAAAACCGAGACACATAAATTCTATGGAGCTATCGAATGCTCCCTTATGGAGTCATTCATAATTTTATAGACTGACATGTGTCTATTGTGTATTTAATACAGAACACGTGTCAAGACACAATTTTTTAATAGTGAAAATAGTTATTTTCACATTTTTTTTAAGTCTTGTTAAGTTTTTTCACACCGGCCAATAAAAAACTAAGTTTTTCACCCCGAAAATTACAATTCCTGACAAAATGATTCCGAAACTTGACTGTAGCATTTCCATAAAAAAAAAAAATAGATATAAATGTAAATAATAAGTTCATACTATTGTAAATATGTGGAATCTTACCACTATTAACAAACTTATCACTTAATTATTGTACTAAAATATTTATTGAAATGTGTGCCATTACATGTCCTAAAATTTGTCTATAAAAAGGGCCAAAAGTATGTAATGTATGTACGAAAGTGAAGAGAGAAAGAAAGAAAGTCTCTTACAGTTTATATCCGATTTTTATACATTGTGTTCTTTATATTCATCGCATTTTATAACACGTTATCAGCACGAACGCTCTACCCGGTCAAGAAAGGTAGGATATATATACATATTACTATTATTCTTGACAAGTTAGGCTATGCCACAGTCAAAAATATATATATATTACTATTATTCTTGACAAGTTAGGCTCTGCCACAGTCAAGATATGTATACTAAATATGATATTATCTACACGTTACCATTATTATTGGCAAATTAGGCTATGCCATAGTCAATAATATGTGGTGATATGTTATTATTAAATTTGTTTATGAATTATTATTCAAGTTATAATAAATATTATTACTTATACTTAACACCCACAAAATGGTTTACCCAGTAATGTGGCGTGAAATTTATAACTGTTTATTCTTGTACTTACCATAAAATTTATCAAATAATGTGGAGCATTTTTTTTTTACTTGTTTTGTTATATTCGCGAAAATATTCATCAAATAATTCGAATTTTTTTTAAGGTAATATACATGATTAATTAGAATTTTATGATCATAAATGATTAATTAGCAAATATTATATCATTAAATTTGTTTCCAACGGCTACTTAACGGCTATATTGCAACGGCTATTTACCAATATCTATATATAAAACTACAATTCATTTTCATAATACAAACACTCAAAATATATTGTTTTGAGAAAAAAAAAAATGTTTGATCCATTACATATAATTACCATTATCTTGTTTATTATATATGTTTTCCTAATTTTCAAAATGATGTATCGTACTGTTGGATTTAAATTTTATGTACTAGGCCTTTGTATAATGTGTTTAGTATTTGCTCTTATGTACGTATTGAAGAATTAGTGATTGTATATGTAATTTTTCGAATCTAAGCATTGGTGTTTTATTTTATAGTTATCATGGCAAATCTGGTCAAACTTGAATTCGAATCTCTCGATATCTCTGGGAAAAATTATATAGCATGGACATTGGATGCCGAAATTCATTTGGCGGCAAGGGGATTGGAAAAAACAATAATATCCCCAAATGATTCATCAATACAGGAAAAAGCTAAAGCAATGATATTTCTGAGGCATCATTTGAATGAGGCTTTGAAAAATGAATATTTAACTGTTAAAGATCCTGCGGATCTATGGAAAGCCTTAAAAGAAAGATATGATCACCAGAAAACGGTGATTCTCCCCCGGGCTCGTTATGAATGGATGCATTTACGCTTCCAAGATTTCAAAACTGTTAACGAGTACAATTCGGCCATGTTCCGCATTTGTTCGGTGTTAAAATTATGCGGAGAAAATATAACTGATTATGATATGCTGGAAAAAACGTTGTCCACGTTCCACGCTTCAAATGTACTATTGCAACAACAATACAGGGCAAAAGGCTTTGTAAAATATTCTGAGTTGATTTCTTGTTTGCTGTTGGCTGAACAAAATAACGAGTTGTTGATGAAAAATCATGAATCTAGACCCACGGGGTCTACTGCGGTCCCTGAAATAAATGTTGCGATATCAAAACAGGGAACCGGAACTGAAAACAGCCAAACATATATACGTGGATATACCTCGGGACGTGGCCGGGGTCGTGGACGTGGACGTGGCCGTGGCCGTGGATATGGCCCAGATCGCCGATTTGACCAAGGCTTCAAATTTCACAGAGGGTACAACTCGGGCCGAGGGAATTATCGTGGACGAGGCCGTGGCTATGTCCAAAATTTTGAAAGGGGGAGAAATTTCCAGCCAAAATTTGAACAAAATAATTTGACGAAAAATAATAATGAAAATGCATGTTATCGATGTGGAAAGACGGGACATTGGGCACAAAACTGTCGTGCTCCGAAACACGTTGTTGATAAATATAATGATTCCCAGAAATCAAAAGATAAAAATGTAGAAACTAATTTTATAGTTGGGGAATCCTCTGAAAATAATACAACACGTGTAGATGATGACTATGGCATCGATGACATGTTGAACTTGGATTTTGCTGATGCGGTATTTGAAGAAAGAGCTTGAAATGACCAAGAGAACAACTGATTATCCTGTTTCTTTTATTGCTTTCTAAGTTTTTGTTGTATTTGCGTATTTGTACTAGTTGTATCTGTATTTCAAATTTGATCAATAATAATGTTGTTTTCTTTTAGATCATGGATCGGTCTCGAATTCAAAATGGAGATATATGTCTTGCAGATTGTGCCACAACTCATACTATACTCAAGGACAAAAAATATTTTGTCAACTTGAAATCAAATAAAGCAAAAGTAAACACAATATCTGGAAATGCAAAGATAATTGAGGGTTCTGGAAAAGCCATATTTTTTATGATGGGAGGTACAAAGTTTACATTGAATGATGCATTATTCTCCCCGAAATCAACAAGAAACTTGTTGAGTTTTAAAGATATCCGAATGAACGGATACCATGTTGAAACAATGAATGAAGGGGGAGTTGAATATCTTTGCATTACCTCAAATGTTGCGGGAAATAAATGTGTTTTGGAGAAATTGCCAGCTTTATCATCGGGCTTATATTACACCCGCATTTATATTGTTGAGACTTATGTTGCAACAAATTCACAGGCGAATGAAATGTTTAAACTTTGGCATGATAGACTTGGTCATCCTGGCTCGATAATGATGCGAAGAATTATTGAAAATTCTAGTGGACATCCGTTAAAAAATCAGAGGATATTGCAAACACGTGAATTGACGTGTACCTCATGTTCTCAAGGGAAATTGATAATAAGACCATCATATACTAAAGTCGGGCATGAATCACCATTATTTTTGGAAAGGATTCATGGTGATATATGTGGACCTATTCATCCACCTTGTGGTCCATTCAGATATTTTATGGTGTTAATTGATGCTTCTAGTAGATGGTCTCACGTGAGTTTGTTATCCACTAGAAATGTGGCATTTGCTAAATTGCTTGCCCAACTTATCAAATTAAGGGCTCAATTCCCAGATTATATTATAAAAAGAGTCAGACTGGACAATGCTGGAGAATTTACATCTCAAGCATTTAATGATTATTGTATGGCAGTGGGAATTGATGTTGAACATCCTGTAGCACATGTTCATACTCAAAATGGTCTAGCAGAATCATTGATCAAACGATTGCAGCTTATAGCCAGACCATTGATAATGAGAACAAAACTGCCCACTTCAGTATGGGGACATGCTATTCTGCATGCAGATAATCTAATTCGCATAAGACCAAGTGCACACCATACATACTCGCCATTACAGTTGGCATCTGGTCGAGAACCAAATATTGCACATATAAGAATTTTTGGTTGTGCAGTGTATGTACCAATTGCTCTGCCCCAACGTACGAAAATGGGGCCTCAAAGAAGGTTGGGAATATATGTCGGATACGAATCTCCATCAATAATAAAATATCTTGAACCAAAAACAGGTGATGTTTTTACAGCTCGATTTGATGATTGTCATTTTAATGAAGAATTGTTTCCCCCTTTAGGTGGGAATGAAAATTCAATTGAGAAAAATATTGAATGGAGAACATTATCACTGTCATATCTTGATCCTCCCACCAAACAAAGAGAGCAAGAAGTTCAAAAAATTATACATCTGCAGAATATTGCAAATCAATTGCCAGATGCATTTACTGATACAAAAAGGGTGACAAAATCACATGTTGCAGCTATAAATGCCCCTGCTCGAATTGAGATTCCAAAAGAAACGGCAAATGACGATATACCAAATGAGTTAAAGGCACGATTGAAACGAGGAAGGCCAGTGGGGTCTAAAGATAAGAATCCTCGAAAGAAAAGAGAAATTCAAGATTCGAATTTGAAAAAGAATCAAGATGATGGAAAAATTTCGGAACGAAATGAAAATATTGAAATCTCCATCAATTATGTAAATAATGGGAAACTTTGGAAGCGTGATGGGATCATTGATGATGCGTTCGCATATATGGTATCACAAGAAATTGACAAAGAAGTTGAGGACCCTGAACCAAAATCTATGATTGAATGTCAGAAAAGACATGATTGGGAAATGTGGAAAAGCGCTATTCAAGCCGAGTTAAATTCGCTTAATAAACGAAAGGTTTTTGGACCTATAACCATTATACCCAAAGACGTAAAACCTATTGGGTACAAATGGGTTTTTGTCAGAAAAAGAAATGAGAAAAACGAGATCACAAGATATAAAGCTCGTCTTGTAGCACAGGGATTCTCCCAGAGGCCTGGGATCGATTATGATGAAACATATTCCCCTGTTATGGATGCGATTACTTTTAGATACTTGATTAGTTTGGCTATCCATGAAAAACTCGAGATGCGTCTTATGGACGTTGTGACTGCTTACTTATATGGGTCGCTAGACGCTGACATTTATATGAAAATTCCAGAAGGAATTAGAATACCCGAGGCACTAAAGTCCAAACCTAAAGAGTTCTGTGCGATAAAACTGCAAAGATCATTGTATGGCTTGAAACAATCCGGGCGTATGTGGTATAATTGTTTAAGTGAACAATTACTGAAACGGGGATACATAAACAATCAAATATGCCCGTGTGTTTTTATAAAAAGATCACAAGATGGAGTTGTGATAATTGCTGTCTATGTCGATGATCTTAATATTATTGGGACTACAAATGAAATCCAAGAAGCAGTCACTTTACTAAAAGGCGAGTTTGAAATGAAAGACCTCGGACAGACCAAATATTGTCTCGGCTTGCAAATAGAACGGGTCCAAAATGGGATATTTGTCCATCAATCTAATTACACTAAAAGAATTCTGAAACGATTCAATATGGACAAGGCTAATCCACTTAGTTCCCCAATGGTCAATCGAACATTAGATGTCGAAAAGGATCCATTTCGACCTTGTGATGAAGATGAAGAGATACTTGGTCCTGAAATACCATATATGAGTGCCATAGGAGCTCTTATGTATCTTGCTAATTGTACCAGACCAGATATATCTTTTGCTACTAATTTATTAGCAAGATATAACTCGGCACCTACGAGGAGACATTGAAATGGAATTAAGCATATATTCCGTTATCTCCAAGGGACAATCGATTTGGGACTGTTTTACTCTAACGATAAAAAACATGAAATAATCGGTTTTGCAGATGCAGGATATCTCTCAGATTCCCATAAAGCAAGATATCAAACTGGATACGTTTTTACGATTGGCGGAACTGCATTCTCTTGGCGTTCTCAGAAACAAACGTTAGTTGCGACGTCTTCAAACCATGCTGAGATCATTGCACTTCATGAAGCAAGTAGGGAAAGTATCTGGCTCAGAAACATGACTCAACATATTCAACAAGCCAGTGGACTATCGAACAATAATGATCCGACGGTGATATTCGAAGACAATGCAGCAAGTGTCGCTCAAACCAAAGAAGGATACATCAAGAGTGACAGGACTAAACATATCCCGCCAAAGTTATTCTTATATGCGCAAGAGCTTGAACGAAACAAACAAATCAAAGTTCAATACATCCGATCAAGCGATAATGCAGCAGATTTGTTTACGAAGGCACTTCCGACGACAATGTTTCGAAAGCACGTACACAACATTGGAATAAGACATCTTCGGGATTTGCACGAATGATAACTCGAGGGGGAGTATGTGCGGCTGTACTCTTTTTTCCTTATCTCGGTTTTTTCCCACAGGGTTTTTCCGGATAAGATTTTTAACGAGGCAGCATAAACGCACATTTAATAGTGGTAATTCCAAGGGGGAGTATTGTAAATATGTGGAATCTTACCACTACTAACAAACTTATCACTTAATTATTGTACTAAAATATTTATTGAAATGTGTGCCATTACATGCCCTAAAATTTGTCTATAAAAAGGGCCAAAAGTATGTAATGTATGTACGAAAGTGAAGAGAGAAAGAAAGAAAGTCTCTTACAGTTTATATCCGGTTTTTACATTGTGTTCTTTATATTCCCCGTATTTTATAACACATACAACAAAAAACTTTAAAACCACCAAAATTCTGTTTTTTTAATTTTTTTTATGCAGAAACTTGGCCACACCTCCTCCACAAACCCAAACTATCACTAATTCACAATCTTCTTCCCTTTTTCAATCCAAAAAGACGCACGCTAATTTACAGTATCAATTGCAGAAAACAATAGAGAGAACAAAAAAAAAATGTCAGTAGCAAAATCACCTTCATTCCCATTCATCAAACTCCGAAACTCATCTCCATCCCCGCCGTCTTATTCTGCGTATGCACCATCTTCTTCTTCTTCCTTCAAGTTCACCATTAGGAGCTCTCAGGCTGAGGGTCCTCTAAGAAGACCAGTGGCTCCTGCGCCTTTAAAGCCTGTGCTCCCATCCCCAACGCCGCCCGATTCTCCGCCGGTGGCCTCTACGCCGCCCAAGCCGCCGCCGGCTGCTGCTGCTGCTGTGGAGAACAAGAGCGGGATCACGTTGGAGTTCCAGAGGCAAAAGGCCAAAGAGCTTCAAGAGTATTTCAAGAAGAAGAAGGTGGAGGAGGCTGATCAGGGTCCCTTTTTCGGTTTCATTGCCAAGAATGAGATCTCTAATGGAAGGTAATTTGGAAAGGCAAATTAGAATACCCCTTTATTGCGTGTGCTTAATTTGATTAGGTTTTTTTTTTTCTTTTTGCTTTTTGTTAGAAATTGGATTAATTTCTTGATTGGTTTACTGGCAAAAGTATGTGATTCTGTTAGTTGTTGAACCTCAGATACTATAATTGTAGTCTTGACTTGTGAAGTTTCGAATATGTTCAATAACCCTATGAAATATTTCAAGTGATTGAAGTACTTCAGGTTATCTCGAATGATGTGCTCAATGAGAGTGAAAATCTTGTGTGGAACTGAAGGGTAAGAGCTCATCTGTATATGATTTTCTTGAATTGAATCTTAACAATCCTTTTCGACTTAATGAAACAGTAACTTTAAATTCGACATAATATCCCGGTTGAACCCAAAGAGAATTCTGCCCCATGCATTTCTTGGCATAACAGATTCTACATCACAATCCTTATGCACGTGTCAAGCTAAGACGAAGATGAACTATTTTGGTGTGTTTAGAGACAAAACATAATAGGATAAAGCTAGAGAATCAGCCCTAAGTCGAGCTCATTACCCGATCTTTCTGTGAGTTGGCTAGCCCATTATCTTTTCTTCCCTTATAGTTTCTGCGCGTGATGAACAAACTCTTGAGACGGTTAAAGTTTGCATTTTTTTCAGTCGCTGTTAATGGTTTCTACACGGTTGAGGTAAAGTTTGGTGTAAAATTGAACTAATCCAATTTCATCTAAGTTGCAAATATGGTTAGTTTTTAACTACCCTTCAATGTTTGTTGCCTAGAATAGATCCATTTATTTTCTTGATTTCAAATCTGAAATAGTTGCTTGACTTGATCACCGTTTTCATATTTCATAAACGGTATGTTTTCATGCGTTGGTACCTTAGGTTTATATTATGTGTTGTGATGTTTGATGGGCAGATGGGCTATGTTTGGGTTTGCTGTGGGGATGTTGACAGAATACGCCACGGGCTCCGATTTTGTTGATCAAGTTAAAATCCTTCTCTCCAACTTCGGAATTGTAGATCTCGAGTGACTTTTCTTTTCTTTCTTTTTTTTTTTAATCTCTTTGTATCTTGAAATCTTGTATCTCGGGATGGATTTTATTCGTCGCACTCTTGTGCTTAAACCTTTTCTGCAGATTGTTGTAGCTCCTCAAATCCGAATTTTAAATGGTACAGAAATATTGTTATCACACGAAGTAAGTATCCCTCTTCTCTCTGTATTTGTCAACATTTCATTTTATACAAGGCAATTCATTTGCAGGAGTATCATATTAACAGTGAGTCCTTTAAATAAGTACCACTTTGAAAGTGTTACAGAAACTGCAGTTTGATATGTCTCAACATTATCAACCACTGTCGATAAAAGATCAAATGTCCACATGCAGTACAATTATTTAACCAAATCTCTTAGTTTTTTCATGATTATTGAATGTTCGTTACGCTTAAAATGCGGAAAGGGCCTCATTTTCTTCTCTGGCCACCACTGATTTTTTTCTTGATTATTGGGCCTCATTTTCTTCTCCGGCCACCACTGAATCCAACACGGCCACATTATCCATATTCCTAACCGAACAATTCCCATGAATTTCACCCTCAGCCCCAGTCAGCACGCCCAGCTGCGACATCTCGACCATGGCGCTCACGAACATCTCGTAAAGCAGTGTCTGGTTGACCGCGAAATCCGTCACGATCCCTCTGGTCCGCGGGTCCGTGTACAGATCAGGTCCACATAATACTTGTTGTCGAAACTGTTAGGGGACCTGATATCGAGCACCGTTGTGTTGTCTGTGTCCGCCGCCGGGCATGTCGATCGGAGGTTCCAGGCAAACGTTTGGTCCATGGTCGGGTCCTCCGCCGGGTACAAGCGGTCGGTGAAGGAGGTGCAGTGGCTGATACTGATGGTGTGTCCGCCGGAAAGTGCCACCACGTCGGTGGCCGTGAAGTTCTTGCCAGAGAGGGAGTCGAGGAGGGTGGTGGTGTTGCTCGACAGCGACGGGAGGTTGGCCAGCGTGTCGTTGGTGGTAGCAAAGGCCAGGCTGTCCCGGCGGCCCAAGGGGAGGTTGTAGTCGGGCCCACCGGACTGGGTTTGGTTATTCGATTTTGGGGAAAGCAATGACATTAAAGTGTTACTGTATATAATATAATTAAAAAAATAAAAAACTAAATTGAATCATTGTTAATCACCTAAAATTAAATATTTTAGGAATTTGTATATTTCTAAACCCAAATCCTTTTGTTCAAATTCTCTGGTTTACGTTGTATTTAATTACACTATTGAAATATGGTTTTTACTTCGATGATATTCAAATATCTTATATATTAGATTATACATAAAATTCTCCATTAGTTGCTTAGATTATTTAATGTTGATTACTAAACACCACCTCCCTTTTACTACTTACAGCCTCTTGAACCGTTTTGTCCCTGCATTTTTTCAAAAAAACTCAAAAAGAAAAAAAGAAAAAAGAAAAAGGAAAAATCCGGCTGGTTGGCCGGCCGTGTGGACAGCCAGTAAGGTCGGCCGGCCAAAGTATATCTTTTTTTTTTTTTGCAAAACAAATAAAATTTTTTTATTCATTATAAAAAGTACGTTAAAATTTAGAAATTATTATGTTATAAATTATAACTGATTATCTAGTAAAATTATGTTTTACATTAATAAATTCTAATTTTATTAGAAATACACACACACACACACAAAAATAAAATTGTATTATTCTATTAATTATATAATCAGAAAGTGGAACTATATGAAATTATTACATTGATTTTTTATATCAAAAGGTTGAACTTTTTAATGTAAAAATAGCTTTACTAAATAATAAATTCTAATTTGTAACAAAATAATTTTTAATTTCTAACATAATTATAATAAATTCTAATTTATAAGATAATTAATTCTAATTTGTAACATAATAATTTCTAACTTCTAATAGCTGACATTTATTTTTATTTCTTTTACTTGAGCACATTCTAATTTTTAATATATCCACTAACAACCAATCATATCACATTTTTTTCAAATTAACTATTATTAAAAAATAAACCCAATCAAAACTAAATGAATTCGTAAACACAGTTTACTTCTTGAGTATCACGTTTCTAAATTTACTAGAATTGTAATATTTGAGCGTCACGTTTCTAATAAATTTGGAATATCTTATTATTTATTTTACATCATATCACTTTAACAATATTACTACACTTACGTATAATGTAATAATATAATAATATTATCTTGCAATACTTTCACTATCCAAAATTAATTTTTAAAAAGCAAAACCTATTGATAAAACTAATTATTTAATTTTTCTAATTGTAAAAGGTTACCAAAATAAAGATATAAAATAGTATTTTTTTTAAGAAAATGTATGTTAAAAAAATTGATATTATTTATCTTTTTTTTTTCTTATCACATCATTCCAACAAATTTATAGTTCATATAATCTAGCTAACCCTTCTGGATCGGCTAACCGAGCAATTCTGGATGCTATATCACTATGCATCACAACCTTTATGATATGAGAATCATTTTGGCAATTTTCTCATAAATGTTTAGAGTGTGTTGAGTTACCAGGAAGACAGAGTCACGAGCTGCAAGGGCAACAATATCGGAACACGACACGACCCTACCGCACTCTTCAGGCACACGTCTACGCAGGTCGTCAATGATTCTGAAGGCCTCGGCCCTCAGACTCAAATTCGACGGGGCTTGCTGCTCGCCGGGTCCGCTTGCCGACCCTTCCAGCAGCACTGAACCATCACACCCCTGTAAATTCATAATCAAAAACATGAATCGTCATTTTTTATTTATATTTTTTTTTTTTTTTTTTTTGTGGGTTGAACATAAGTAATACCTGGATGAAGCAATCACGGAAATGTAGTCGAAGCAATCCTACCGCTTGGCTAGGGGCGTAGCAAGGAAAATTAATCACCCTTGGCTGATCAACTTGATGAAAAAAATAAAATAAAAAATGTCTTGCTTATGCTTAAAATACTTGTTTTGCTTTATTCTATATTTCTATTTGTTCGAGACAATATAATTGAATATTTTTTTTAATGATCTTGATTGATTTACATGTTTGTTTTTCAAAATACTTATGAATTTTAGAAAAGTAAAATTTGATTGTAGAATAAAAATAAGTAATATTTGTTTCAATAATAAAAAAAATTGTAAAAAAAATAATAAAAGAATTTAAATTGAGTAATATTCATTATAATTAATCTAGGTGAAACAATTAATGAATAAACTATTTAATCAAAATCTTCTATCAAATTACCACATGGATTTGGCTCCAAATTTTTCACACATATTTTTTAATTCATTCTTCATTCATGATTTTTTTTTTTCGATTTTACTAATATTATTGGACTTTGCATTATGTTTTCATATTTTTATTATTTTTTTTCAGTGCCAATGCTAATTTAAAGTGAATTAGTTTTATGTGGATAACAAATTCATATAGTTCTTGCACACTGAAATGGGCTTACAGGAATATTAAATATATTTATTAAATCTAAAACACAATTAATAGAGATAAGCACTATTAATAAATTATCAACTATGAACTTATATGCGACTTGGTTAGAATTTTACATTACCACAAACCAATTCATGTATATATATAAATAAAATGAGCAAAAAACTACCCCGGGCTGGAGCCCACCCCAGAGTATGGGTGGCTCCGCCCCTGTTTTCAACCACACAGAAACAAAATTAAAATACTCATGCATCTAATTAACATAAATCTTTTTTTTTTCATCACTTAAACACCTAAACAACCCAGAATTAGCAACTTAGTCCTAAGCTCAAAATTAAGAAAAAAAAAAACATAACATCAACGTAACTTACCCCAGCAAGCTTGCAAATTCAGAATTAAACACCATAGCTAAATATTATCTAATTGTCCAAATAGATTATCAAAAAGTAATTAACTCAATTACCTAAATATCAAACCTCTTTGGAGAACGTGTCTGGTTTCTCTGCGGGCTTTCTCTGGCACAGTCCGGGCTTCTTAATCTTCCCCGTCGCTGTTGCCGCCTGTGAACACGAATTTGAACTCTCTGCTGTCTTCTCGGCATCCTTGGCGGCCTCGGCCTTCGCCAGCGCAAAACCAGCGGCGACTGCTCAACTTGCTGTCCTCAAACTTGTCTGTTTCTCCGCGACGGTAGCGGCGAAGGCATCCACTTTCTCTACCAATAGCTCCGCTGACTCCATAGCAGCTTCCAGAAAAATCTTTTCCAGAACAAGCTCACCATCCTCAATCGATCTTTGTGGTGCTTTTACAAAATATTTTGTCAATTTCACCACAGTACAAGCTGGGGCTGCTGCTTTTATCGCCAGTTCTGCCAACATAGCCTCTTCCAACGCGACGGCGGCGGCCAGCGCCTTGACCCCCTCAGCTAATTCAGATGTCTCTCCTCCATACTTCAAAGCGTCTTCGGCTGCAACCGCAGCATCTTTGGTGGCCTTCGCTGCACCTTTCGCCGCAACCAGTGCATTCTGAACTGGCTGCTCAACGACGTCAAAGACCTCTTGGACTGCCTCCGCAGCAGAGTATTCACGTTTAAATTGGTGGACGTGCTTTAGCGAGCCCATGAACAGGGTGAATGCAGAAGAAATGGCAATGTCCACGCTCGTCAAACACTTTTTATCAACCTGCGTTAAAAAGCCAGCGCCGAAGGAGGACAATAGAGGCTAATGGTGTCAACGACAACGGCGAGATTGCACAGGCAAACGAGGTGCATAATAGCTGCGAACACTATGGCCAGAGACCATACGTCATTAATGACAGCTGAAACCAAAAAATACTCAAATTTATCATGAGAATCTCCACAACCACTCTCACTTTGCGGGAGATTTCCCATGGAAACGAATGCTCCGATAAGCCATATGTTAGGTTTCGAAAACCTACCATGGACTAGATGGATGGCAACCTCAACTATGTCCATGAGCGGCGAAAATTGAGAAAACTGTGAAGATGATGTGACTATTGATTAGGGAAGGTTCATGAGCCTCAAATTTATCATGAGAGTCTCCACAACCACTCTCACTCTTCCCTAGTCAATAGTCGCATCATCTTCACAGTCTTCTCAATTTTCGCCGCCCATGGACATAGTTGAGGTTGTCATCCATCTAGACCATGATAGGTTTCCAAAACCTAACTTATGACTTATCGGAGCATTTGTTTCCATGGGAATCCCCCGCAAAGTGAGTGGTTGTGGAAACTCATGATAAATTTGAGTATTTTGGTATCATCTGTCCTCAATGACGTATGATCTCATAGTGTTCGCAGCCATTATGCACCTCATATGCCTGTGCAATCTCGTCGTTGTCGTTGACACCATTGGCCTCTACTGTCCTCCTTCAGCGCTGGTGTTTCAACGCAGGCTGATAAGAAATGTTTGACGAGCGTGTCCATTGTTATTTCTTCTACATTCACCTTGTTCATGGGCTCGCTAAAGCACGTCCACCAATTTAAACGTGAGTGCTCTGCTGTGGAGGCAGTCCAGTCTTTGACGCCGTTAAGCAGCCAGTTCAGAATGCACTGGTTGCGGCGAAAGGTGCAGCGATAGGGATGGCAGCGGTTCGGTTTCGGTTCAGATATCCGCGGTTTTTGGTTCTGCGGTTTTCGGTTTTGGTTCTCAAATTTCACCCACGGTTTTGCGGTTTCGGGTACCCGAAAGTCTTCGGTTTTGGTGCAGATCCTATATTTCGCCCGTGGTGCTCCGTTGGGTGCCCAAAATAGACGGCCCATCAAAAAACCCACCAAAAACCCTAGCTATATAAGTGGAAATTTCCTCTCCCTCTTATCCTCTCCCCGTCTCCCGTGATGGCTTGGCTTAGCTATGTACTCTACTACCTTTATGGCTTGTACTGTACGTTGGTACTTGCTAATTTGTGACTGGTTGCCTGGTACTCTCTAAGTTATCATGTTTTATGTTGTTGTCTTTGGTGTTTTATTATAATATTTTTGGTTTTTTGGGTATCCGTTTGGTTTTTGGGTATCCGCGTGTTTTGGTTTTGGTGAAGGATTTTCACCCGAAACAGTTTTGGTTTTGGTTTTGGTTTTTAAGTTTGGGTTTTGGTTTTGGGTGCCCTGAGGTTCCATCCGATCCGAACCCGAACCGCTGCCATCCTTATGCAGCGAAGGTCACCAATGATGCTGCGGTTGCAGCCGAAAACGCTTTGAAGTATGGAGGAGAGGCATCTGAATTAGCTGAGGGGGTCAAGGCGCTGGCCGCCGCCGTCGCGTTGGAAGAGGCTATGTTGGCATAACTGGCGATAAAAGCAGCAGCCCCAGCTTGTACTGTGGTGAAATTGACAAAATATTTTGTAAAAGCACCACAAAGATCGATTGAGGATGGTGAGCTTGCTCTGGAGTTGGAAAATATTTTTCTGGAAGCTGCTATGGAGTCAGCGGAGCTATTGGCAGAGAAAGTGGATGCCTTCACCGCCACCGTCGCGGAGAAACAGACAAGTTTGCGGGTAGCAGTTGAGAAAGCTGCAGTCGCCGCTGGTTTTGTGCTGGCGAAGGCCGAGTCCTCCGCAGAGGCCGCCAAGGATGCCGAGAAGGCAGCAGAGAGTTCAGATTCGTGTTCCTAGGCGGCAGCAGCGACAGGGAAGATGAAGCAGCCCAAGAAGCCCGGACTGCGTCAGAGAAAGCCCGCAGAGAAACCAGACACGTTCTCCAAGGAGGTTTGATATTTAGGTAATTGGGTTAATTACTTTTTGATAATCTATTTGGACAATTAGATTTTAATATTTAGCTATGGTGTAATTCTGAATTTGCAAGCATGCTGAGGTAAGTTACGTCGAGGTTATGTTTTTTTTTTTTTTTC